TGTATTTGAGGATCTTGCTTTTTCTTTTGTCTATGTTGAGGCCTACTGGTGCGGAGGCTGCTGCTACACCAGTTGTCTTCATCTGTATCTGCTCGTGTGTATGGGATAGAGGGGACATGTCATCTGCAAAATCTAAATTTTATAATTGATTCCGAGCTGTCCATGTACCATAATAATACCTATAAAAGTGAAACCTTGCCGATACTTCAGTAGAAAATATTATTATTATTGATATATGAATGGTTTCATAGAAATTATTATATACTGTGCTGTTAGTTGATCATTCACAGATTTCTTCTTCGAGGTACAAGTATATTTATAAGTTCTTTGTATGGTAGGTAAATAATCTAGGACGCCTTCGGTGAGCAAAGACTGGATAATAACTACACCCATTACGTTTGGATGTGAGTTTCATGATTAACATTCCCAGTACTTCAAAATTAGATTTATTTGACCAGCGTGTGAGACTCATGCATGTCATCGAATCCTGCTTACTTTCATTGAAGTTGAAAATTTTGCGGGCGTCAGTAGGATATAAACAAATATTTGTGATCATGGTGGTTGGAATTTCGATACTATTGATACTTGTTTGGTTGAATTGGACTCCACTATTTGATTTCTATAACTTCGTCGCCGCTGAACAGAATCGCATTGTGTGGTAGTGTTTAAGTAACTCATATCGTTCGATAATTTGTGGATAAAATATTATAACAAACATTCAGCAACTCAAGATGTTAGCAGTAGTGTTTGTAGGATCTGGGTTCATGCTGGTACTAGTGCACTTACATATGGTGCTATAATAATGGACCTAGTTTAATACTGTGGGATTTCCATGATATTACGTTGACATCGTATCATTGTCAATAATGACCCATTTTCTAGTGATAGTGGGTAGTGTATCTACGGTGGTCATAGGATAAACAGCATGAGTGTGGTATTTGTACCAACTGATAATTCTTACGCACTCTATTTCGTGGCCAATCTGAATTTCATGCATAGTACGTTTATTTGTGCTCATAGAATTATATCTACCTCAGATTGAAGTATCCTGGAAATTCTCAGTATATTAATTCAACTACTTCTAATGATCATAAAGAGGCTAAATAGTGTGGTCACGTCTGTATGGCCGAGCCATGCTGTCTCGAACAAATGTTCTCGCGTCCACATCTGGATCTCCAGGCATCTGGTGGTTAGCGTGTATCTTCTTAGTTACTGTATGTTCAGCTCCAAGGACCAAGTTGTGAGGGACTAGTACCATAAAAAATTTACGACTTGACGTAGACATAATTTGTCATCATGTGTTTCCGTTTTGGTTTAGATAATATACTATTCTGAATATTCTATTTGTTAACTGTGCCTCAACAGTAGATAGTCAATGTTATTAAGTATTCTGAACTTCATGAATTGGCCCAGCCATATCAATCAATTAGTAAACATCACATCTGTTAGTTTCCGAGTGTTGTTTATATCAACACCACATAATCTCACTGACCTTATATGACTAACTGAAATACTCAAAAATAACATATTTTTCCGATTAAATTTCAAACTTTGACTATGTGGGCAAATAATTATAGTTCATGTAGCGCGAATTAAGCGTCAGTGATCTGAACGCTTCAGTTAAGTTATCTTGCGTCACAGTTTCACAATGAAATGGTTGAGAAGCTGGAGACAAATGGACATGGTGACCAGGCCCTTAGTGCGCACACACGACGAATGAAGTCGTTACATATGAATGATTTACAGTGATGGCCGACTGCAACATATACTAGTTCAATTAATTTTACTGAGCACTTCGCACCCGTCGTCCTCGACCTTGAAATTAGGTAAATGATTAAACATGCACTGACCATTCCCCAAAGGTAAAAATACATTCAAATTGACGTATGGTTTGACTAGAGTTTGTGGTGGATCGCAACAAAAATCACCGAATATAAATGTCGAAATAGGATTGTAGCGGTAAATAAATTCCCAAAATAAGTAGCTCTGTAAGTCTTCGACACTGGATGCTGACCACATTAGTTTCAAGGGACTCACATAGCTGGAGGCGCTCGGTCATGCATCCGCATCAGATCACGAGTGGGAACGCCGTGCTCAACATCTCCTGCAATCGCTAGCCAGCCTAGATCAGTCGACCCTCGATATATTAGTAGCCTATCAAATATATCTTCAAACCTCCTCGCTTCTGTATTTTGATTTCACTTGGTGGGTACGATTCATATTAGGTGTCACTGGTTAAAGCGTTGTAAAACCCCGAATACCTGTGGCATCTTCATGTTCAGTTATACTTCAGTAACCCCGGAATTTTAATAACCTTGAATAGACTTCCGGACTATACAACGCAACAGAACCGAGCGATGAACAATTGGATATAACCTGTTAATGTTTTACACAGTCACTAATCAGGAAACATGAATTTTCTGACGAATAGGATATCTAAATGAGTCTCTTCATCTGTTAGAATCATCAAAGTCAGTATCAGTCATGAATGTTCACTGAACAGTTAACTAGTTTTAGTCACATAGTATTACAAATCCTACCAAAGTTGGTTTGTCAGGAACATATTGAATCAATTCGACCACAAGTAAATACGAGTCTTAGGTTTTTTCATAATACTGAATTTACTGACATGCAAGTAAACGAACGGTATTCAAAGGTTACAATGAACAAGAAATCTTGTCCTCTGAAAGAAAGGCTCATGATAAGTCGCGAGACGTCAGAAATTTAAACTTTTCATCGCGATATTGCAAATATATAAAAACACAACAAATGCTGGGATGTGCACAAAATACCGACTTCTTAAGGCTTTTAAGAAACGTGAATGTCACTTGTTTGCCGAATAACAAAAGCTTCTCTGTAACCAGTTCAAGGGAGTATTTTTCCACAAAAACTCAAATGAGAATTTCAAATCTTATCGTACTGATTGCTTAGTTACTAGTAGCGACGACTGCCAACTCCGATTCTTCTTATCATAGTCAGCTTTATATACGACAAGATGAATTTGACATCATAAATTTCTGCAACGTAAAACATCCAGAGGATGCTGACAAAGAAAATGATTAAGTCAGGTAGGAAAGTATGAGATAAGTTTCTATAGACCACCGAACGGTTTCATGTCTTGATAGCTTTAAGCCTCTTATTTAAAGTAAGTTACTGAACTGGTGGTGATAGAATTCAATTACTGCGTTTTAGTGATCTCAGAGTATAATACTTTTTCAAGGTCGTTAAGAGCCTAAACAAAATTATGACTGCGTAGGAGTTTTCGATTACCTTTAAGTTCGAGTGCTTAACGCAAAGTCAAAAGATATATTTTAACTGTCGTTTTTTATCTTATATATTTTTAACTATTATCTGCAATGGGAAACAGTGTAATTGAGGCCAATTAAAAATGGTATACAACATTGTATTATGAGTATTCAGTTTATAGTGAGCACTCCATGTGACCCTGATTAAGACATTTTACTTGGACCTCGCCATTCACTTTCTGATGCAACCTTTTGTGAATCACTCATCAAAGAGCGAACACACTTTAGGCTACAGGTCAACCCTATTAGTAACGCTCTTCTGAACGATGTAATTTCAGCCTCTTCTGTAGAAATTTTCAGGATAAGTCTTAACAACCATGTCAACACCTGAGGTTAACATTCATTGCCTTGAATGGCTGTTACCTACATGATTTGATGGTGACCGAGGCTTTTTCGCGTACTAGTCTTGCCGCATGTCTCGCGATTTATCTATTATTATTAGTATCTTTCTACATCTTCTTTTATTCTTTATCACCTCCATTCGGTTTCCATTTGTTTTTACATGTAGTTGTTTATTTTTTCACAATCAGTCAATAAATTTATTTCAAACTTGCGTACTACACCTAATAGTATTCTACTTTTAAGGTACTTCATAATACAACTTACTAGTCGGCTTCTCTATAAAAAGGTATTTCCTGGTTCCACCAAACCCAGTGCCATTGAACAGACACATTTATTTATAATGGAGATATACCAGCCTTCAAATAAGTCTGATTTAATGGGGTTAGTGCAGGTGATTGACTAGACTACCTACGTTGGTCGATACTCGAAACCAAGAATATTACCTTGGCACTGAAAAGCAAACGGTAGTAAAATAAAAGATCTACATTAACTTCTCACGAAAATATTACATACTAGAACAAGAGAAACTCGATATATAGTCGAAGTTCTAGCACTTGTGCGTACACTTTGTTGATGACTACTCCGATAAATAAAAGAGAATCTCAGGTAAAATGAGGGAATTTTATATATATTGAGCAGGTGAGTATATATCTACTAAGCCTTGAGTAATAGCACTTTGATTCTTGCATCTGTGACTGATGAATTTTCCGAGTGAGAGAGACTTATGAAACTCCTCATTGTCTTTAAGTCTATCATTTTGGCTAGCCAGAAACCTCTGTTCCAACTTAGTGGGCCACATGTAGATGTAAGCAACACTAACAAAGATTTATCAGGATAGAGCATGCGGACAAATGACTTTGCTGCTGTTCCATGTTCACTCAAAATAGTGGAAAATGTAAAGACGCACAAATTTGAATACTCTAACTTCAATGCTTCTGTGTAAAGGAATTGATGACTTTATTTTACCAGATGTCTAACTCAATAGTGTATTTCAGAAATTACTTTAAAAATCAGTGTATTTAGTATTGAATCATGTGTAATATGAGGGTAATTGATCAATTAAATCAATCCAATTAGTGCCTAACGCCTCAAGAGAATTATTGCTTGTGAAACGTTTCTAATGTGTAACTACTTAAGATCGTACCCCAATGTATACATACATAATTTTTTGTGCACTGTCAAGAATAAAAACAACACGAGTCCTAGTGTAGTCACGAAAAAACTTCATTTTATATTCTTTCTTTAGACTAGTGTTTTCCACAATATTCAATTTGAGTTATAAATAAATCTTATTGAGAGGCTTTTTTCCGATAATTAACAACAACGTGATAGTTACTTGTTTATAATTGTCTAATGACTTCAAGAATGTTTGTTGAATCATACGGTGATGAAGTTTCTCGTGTGTTTACATTGGAGAAAAGTCAAAGTCGATCAATTAGCTCATTATTTGATTTACACTTATCATGGGTGACTTTTAAGGTTTGTCAAATGAAAAATTTCATAAAACATATTTTAGAAGTTTTTTCTTCCCGTTGGGTATCCATCTAGTGTTAGCAATGATTATTTAGAATATCAAATTTGGGACACTATACAGGTAGGTGATTTTTTTCATTGCTAACGTTTCATTATTTAGTGTACCGTTATGATAATTGGGTTCTTTGAGTCTAAAACACCTCTCTAGGATACGTACTCGGCTTTCAAGAAGTACTATTGGATCGTGGATTTGAATACTTCTTCAACTAATACGAGTCTTTAACTCATTTACAAAGTATATATTTACATACTTGGCTTTGAACTACGTTCGTTTTGGGGTTATTGATACGATCTGTATGCCAAAACTTGAGTTGGTGTGGCGTTCGGTGTTAGGTGGTTGTAGGTGGATAGTCAACATGATACTCTAGACATAGATTTCTCCCTAGTTGGCACTGGTTAGCAAGGTGTTCCTGTAATCCGGTAGTTTTAATAGTCCTCACATAAATAGTATGGCTACAAGCCAAATACATAATTCAGTTGTTGATGAATAAGTAGCAGCAAGACACAAAAGACTTTTCTTCTGAATGGTGATTCGGATGTTGTCGTGTATAATAAAGTTTATACTGAAGTAAATGTTTTCATTCACGGTGGCTGCGTTGCATTTTTATCGGTTATGCACTGTATAAAGTATTAAGGTTTATTTCTAAGCAATAACGTCATCAGATGGTGGTTGGAGGTATTCGACAGGAAGCTCTGAACCTAGGTTTCGTGCTACTTGGCATTTGTCAGCAACGTGTACCTGTAATCTTGAGGGAACTGATGCTACCTGACGGATTCGATTCTGTATCACCCAGCTTCACAGTCAAAGACGACATAGAAAATATCCAAGCTTAAAACATCGCCACTGTATATCGCGAACTGACTGAAACTGAGATCGTACCATTTTACCCAGTGATTCTAATTGTTAAAGGTGCACTTCAATACCCGCATATCCTAAGTTCGATTTCAAGTAAAGTCGTAGGTGTATACTGTCAAATAATTCCATACTAAGATGACACATCTATCCAGTGCTTCTTAGTTTTCAATGGTTATCCCAGCTAAGATAAATCCGTCATGAATACTGTCTATATTCTCTATCGTTAATATGACTTCCTTCTTTATTTTATACAGGCATTTGCCAGCAGTATCACTGGTGCTCTTGCATCACAAGCAGTTTTAATCGGTGTAGGTGTTGGGAACTCATCAGCTACCATATTAAGTGCTAGTTTAACGTGGATGTTTAAAGGTGTTGTTCATTTGATTATTTTAAAATATTTTATAACATTTAAATTTTTTTATTGGTGGTTTTGTTGTGTAACTTTGTAACTTTCAATTTCTTAATAAAACTCTGTGAACAATACAAACTGAAGCTTGTCAGTGAAATTGTGAAAAAGTATCAGTGTACACCCCGACCGTAGTCTGATCAACCCAAATGGGTTGGTACCTGACGAAATCTCAGCACGGATTCGAAAAGCTCGTTTGGCTTTTGCCAACTTACGTCACCTATGGCGAAGGCGAGATATCCGTCTATCATTTAAGGGACGAGTATACTGCGCGGCAGTTCGTTCTGTTTTAATTTACGGCTGCAAAACAAGGCCATTAAGAGTAGAAGATACTCGTAAGTTACTAGTATTTGACCACAGATGCCTTATAAATATTGCTCGCATCTGCTGGGATCACCGGGTAAGTAATAGTGAGGTTAGACGCAGAGAATTAGGGAATGATGGCAAATCAGCTGATTAGGTTGTGTATCTTCGTCGACTGAAATGGTTGGGCCACATGTTTCGTATGCTTGAACACCGATGCGCAATGTTGACTATTGTTGGGAATGGTTGGAAGTTAGGGACGGCCAAACCAAAACGTGGCATCAGTCACTGAAGTCACTAAATTCTGGTCTGAGCTATGTTGGTAGATGCAGACTACTTGGTCGGGATCCGCGTGACTATCATAACCAATGGTTGGAGACTCTGTGTGACATGGTTCAGAATCGATCACAATGGCGTGGGTGTATATATTGTCTGTTTTCCCTTAAACTATGAGATTAAAATCGCTTCATATCTTTCTTTCTACTAACTAATTCTTTCTTCCTATACTATATCCTTATTGTAATCTTTCTTTTATATATTACCACTATTGACTTAACTACTCCTATGAATCCGGTGTTCATCTTGTTGTGCTAATGTGGTATGGCAACTTGGACCGATGCATGTATGTGCCTGGTCCTATGTCGTAACTGACTGCCTGAGTTGTGAATATATGTATGTGTTCTCCCTAAGTAGAACGGTGATAAATGCAGTCATCAAGTGAACATTGTACTGTGTCGTATACAATGAAGAATAACTTTAGCTGTTAGAACTGAGGTAGAAATTTCCTATTTGTGATTTATAGAGGATGATATCTGATTTTTGAATTCAATTATATATATTCACTTGGTGTCGTTTATTTGTATATTCCCATTGTTATTTAGGACTGCAATTGATCAGTCTCGTGTTGACATATGTGCATCCTGTGCGGACTGCCTCGATATTGTTTGAAGTCACAAGCCTTATAAGCAAAGATGGATAGTGGCTAGCAGTTGAGTCCAGTTTGCTGAGCGTTTCTCCCTATTTGGGACTCATCAGCTGGATGTACCTACATCTCAGAGTTGATGCTCATTCTGGGACTCAAACCCAGAACTGAAATGCTTGGCTATAATCGTATACCCAGACAGTTTTGCTGAATTCAGTTTATCAGCAATAGTCTGAACAGTAAATCGGCAATCAGAACTTACATATGATCGAATATGTTTGATGTTTTTATTAAAACACAAGATTAGCGTTTGTCATACTTTTCCATCATCTTTGCAGTCATTACAGTCATCATTTGAATTGTTGGTCTTCTTGAAAAGAGATGTTTTTGTTAATAGGTTATCTACAAAAGAACTTCAACATTCTATGAATTTTCTCTGAGTTTCATTAAAACTCTTAGTTGTTTGGTCCGGGTAATCGTCAACTATACAAGTTAAAAGAAAGAATGATTATACTTAGTTAAAATGTACTGTGAATTGTGAAGTTTATCAATGATATTATCATTATTGTTCATTTTTGATTTTCTAGATGGTTCAGGTATGATTGGAAGAATTATATTTGCTGGTTATCATGGGTAGTGATCGATTGATTTCTTAAAATTAACTATATGATACTACTTATTATCTTGTAGAATTAAATTAGACTGTGATTGCAAATTTTGGAGGTAAGCAGTTATGTTATGAACATTATTTGATATTTAACTCACTCATGTACTCACTAGTGACTAGATTTAAGAGGTAATTCTCGGAGTTCTAGTGAGAAACCGTGATTAGTGGAGTTCGGTGATGTTTGTTATGCGACAGTTACTCATCGATGACAGTTGGAGCTAGTGGCGTAATATCGTGAGTGGATTGAAGTTAAACATTAACACCGTTGAGTGTCGACTCAATGGTTTGGAGGTTTAGCGTTCACGATCAAGTCTGAAGGCTCTGTTTCCGAATCCCGCGTACGGGATTGTGAGTGGGCATCGTCGAGGAGTCCTGTACTAAGACTAAACGGCCGTCCAGTGTCCCCACATTTTCAATGGTGGTCTAACATTGATCGTATCATGATCCCAATAATAAGAATTACTTTCCTAGTATATGTATTGATAATTTCGAAACATAATTATGTTCTTTAAATTAGTAGATGATTAAGTCAATCGAATTTCAACTAAGCAATGATAATTCTAAGCTTCAAAGCATATTTGACTAGTCGGCCGACATAGATCTAACATAATGACGATCTACCTATCTATCAATCAAGTAATTGTGTTCTGGCTTAATTAGGGTGCGAAACCACTTTCTACAATCGGAATATGTAAGTCAACTGACATTAGGGATATACGTTAAATTGTGTGAATTAACGGGGTTAAAAGTTGAAAATGTTTTGACTATTCAACTGTGTATAGTATCTAACTGGGTTGATTACAATACTCAACTTTTGAGCATTACGTCTGAGGTTCGATACCTACTCTATTTGATTTAGTTTAAGCAACTGCATCGTATCACCAGCATTCACACAGAACAATGCTTAAATGCTGGGTAACTTAGTTACGTCAAACTACTAAACTGTTTTAAATTCCTCTAGTATAACATCTAACGGTGACATATACCTGTTATATATTTAGTGTTTGTCAATCAAAGATTGGTTATTTGAGAAAAATGGTCGATGTTAACTCTACTTTTTATTATTCATCAGTATGTGTCTTGAAGTAGTTATCATTCTTAGTTATTCATTTTTTCCTTTACTTTTCCATAGATTTGTTGCTGATATCTTAAACGATTGTGCTTTATTCCTTGAACTAATTTCTCCACTATTCAATCATATGTTCATACCGTTACTTTGTCTTGCTAATGTACTTAAGGTAACTCATATTGGTTTGGATGTATTCTGTTGTCTACCCTATCCCTTTGTTGCTAAGTTTTCTGTTCTTTGAATTGTTCATAGAGGGTTAAACCTTATTTTCATTTTTTGGGTCGCACTATAAATTTTGATGGTTTCATTTATTATTCTCGGATGTTGTGGATATTGTTAAATGTTTCGGTATTACACTACGGGTTCACCTAAGAGAACCATTTAAAATCAAAAGTCACTGGTTTCGTTTTGGTATGGAGTCCTTCTTTACACTCTCTTATCCTCACTAGGTATCGACCCCATCACCTTCAGGCCTCGCTGTGACTCTTTCACAATGACTCTTCCCAATGATTTTCATTCCTAACTCCATTCAATTTGTGATATTTTGCTACCGTCATCCGTTTCTACTTACTTCGGTTTGGGCGCTCGGGCAGTATTTAAGCCCTCACACAAATCGAATGATGAAGTGTGGTGCACATATATCTGGTGCCTCCTTGTACCAATGTTTATATGTTTAAATTAATAAACAAATATCTGTTTCTACTAGTGGTACTTGTCTGAATGCTGACATGACTAATCTCTGCTTACATATTTTCACCAGAAACCAAGAAGTAACCGCTCGAAGTTAGTCCTTTTTAAGCCCGTGGGTTGATTGAAGTCAGGAGTGTAATTTATCAAATGCCAATGTTAAGAGCTCAGAAAGTGGCCTAAAGCTCCTGATTCCAACCCTCAGTGAATTTGTGAATGTGCGTTCCTATAGAGCACCACAGTACGACAAAACAGCCGTTCAGTGTTTCCTGGTTTTCAATAAACACAAGCTACCCGTCATCGCGTTTTGAATTTCGCGCAAAAATCAAATAACCGTTATCTTAAATCTGATTGGTTTGCCTGAAGAGTATACTGTTACTCAATGACTATCTACCATCAATTCTTTCAGTAAACAGTAAAAATGTGAAGTTATTATTAGTCCATGTTCATATGGAACTTCGAAAATACCGTGTTCAGCTCACATTTTATTCCTAACTATTACACCTGATTCCAAATGGTCAACCCCTAACTCCAAATCAAAACTCAAATTTCTAACGCTGACTTTTTTGAGTTTTCATGTTGCCAATTGATTATTCATATCACCTGAATTCTGGTTGACTGAAGATTAACTGTACTTTCTCGAAGCTGCCCCATAGCTCGCTCAAGGTCATCAGTGAAATATACTTTCATCAATATCTGATATAGGTCTTTTGTACTAATATGATAAAGTTAATCTTTTTGACCGCGAACCAACATCAACTGAAGAACCTGTTTTATCCGATTTCACTGAGCTATACGGTCATCGACTGACTGCTTACTGAGCAGTAATCAATATTTTAGAATTCGATCAATACTAAGGACTAGGCGAACATGACATATGTTATTACTCGGTTACTAATTAATGCACACTTGGATCTTTTGTACGTCCATCAGTTCATACTGTTACTGAATCTCAAACTCAAACGAAATATCTATCCAGTAATATCTGATCTTGAATAGGTTTTCTTGACTTGGTGGAATCTTTCAGTTTATCTGTGTATCTTATTATACATCATCATCTTTCTTGTTTTAAATCACTTTGTACCCTGTGAGATTACCTTATGAACCTTTACTAATTCATTAGAATAGTAGTGGCTTATGTGATTCCAGTAGATTATTCGAATTATATCTATATTTATTTGTAATGAAATTAAGGATAATCTAAATTCATCTTACTACGTTCAGTACTATATATCTCCAACAAATCATAAAGGTCTTGATTTCAACTTCATCTTTTGTAACATTACTACTATAACACTGTCAATCCTACCTCCTTTCAGTTTCCAGGCATTACTTACTTACGCCTGTTACTCCCAATGGAGCATAGGCCGTCGATCAGCATTCCCCAACCCAATCTGTCCTGAGCCTTCCTTTCCAGTTCTATCTGATTTTTGTTTATTTTTCTCATGTCTGTCTCCATTTCTTAACGTAATGTGCTCTTTGGTCTTCCTCTTTTCTTTTGACCTTGAGGATTCCATGTGAGGACTTGCCTTGTGACACAGTTGGGTGCTTTCCTCAATGTGTGTCCTATCCACTTCCAGCACTTCCTGATTTCTTCTGGTTTGTTCTCTTCCATAGTAGGTTATTGCTGATAGTGTCTGGTCAACGGATCCGAAGTATTTTGTGTAGACAACTGTCAATAAACACTTGTATCTTCGGGAAGATGGCTTTCGTAGTTCTCCAAGTTTCCGATCCATACAGGGATTATTCAACACAAATCGATTTATCATGAAAATGATCATTTCGTTGAAAATCCTTAGTTTAAATAAAAGTATTTAACTTAATTGGAAATCAGTTTATGGTTCACTGTATTCCACATTATAGGTTGAGAGTAAAAACACTTGTATGGTTATAGTAGATGTATATATGTGCAGCATCGTTCATACCTGTAATTTTTTCATTATTTTTCTGAATTACTTAACCAGACACATATTTTAAAGATAGCTTGTATCAACTGTGGATGATTGTTCAGCAGTATGAAGTCGACGCTTTCGGCTTAAATCTTAATGACCCCAATATCTGATTCCTGGCCAGACTGTATGTTGAAGTTTGTAAAGGGGTCTTGCACTATGTATTCAATGGTTCACATTTTAAATTAATTCGGGAATATAAACTATCAAATTAAGTTATCTTTACATACCTTCTATGCCAAACTTACACATACTTCATTTCTTTCAAAAAAGTCTTTAGTTGGTGTCGCTGGTAGTGCAACACGTGCAGCTATTGTTCAACATCAAGCGATCAATAATAATTTAGCTGATGTATCAGCTAAAGATGGTAGTCAGGTTAGTTTTATACTTTCCATATAGCTTTATCTTACTTACAACTCTATGAATTTTACCATTGGACTAGTTAAGATTAATATAACTACTTTTCATTCAAAGCAATTAGTCGCTTTGATAAAACAATTAGATGATAGAGTTAATCTGAAAAGTGTAATATACGTAAGCTATACATTTCCAACCATCTAGTTACATTTATACTTTTCAAGGCATTTTATACGGAAACATATAAATATCAGTTCCATAAAAAGTAACAATAAACAAAAAGTGATAATTGTATTGTGGTGTATGCTACTTATGTCGACGGACATAAGTAGTATGTAACACCAATCGGAAGTGGAAAACCTGGCAGCAGAAGATTAAGAAGATCAAGTCAATGAGAATAGAAAGGAGTTGTGAATTTGAAGAATCATGCGAAATGTAAAGGACAAATGATGGAAATCTGCAAATGGAGTAATCAGTGTATGGTTTTCATATTTTAATAAGATACTTTGTAATTTTGTTCGTCGCTTATCAGCGAGATGACTCTGTTAAGGTGACGCATCGACGAAATACTGGTCGTATATGATAGAGTTCGATACTTCTCAGTTATTAGATACATTCAACTGTCCACAGAATTATATCGTACTTGTGAGGAGGAAAATAATGACCAATTACCCTTTCTGGACACACTTTTGAGCCAAGGGAAAGATGGTACTATAAAGCAGTCAGTTTATAGGAAGGTGACCTGAACTTTGCAGTATTTACCTACAGTTTTTGTCCTCTGTAGCACAAACAAGGCTTGGTAGAGTAAGTTATCGACAGAACACAACGTATATGCATTATATATGTGTTTGATGAAGACTCAAAACTCCCGACTGAAACAGTGATATTAAACGGTTACCCGCTGAACTTTATAAATCGATGTAATTCAGTTGTTCTCTTTACCATTTAGAGGAAAGTCAAACAGCATAACTTTCAGACAGACACTAGAAGTAGCCATAGAGCTGTCATTTAATTGATCTTTATAAGTTTTCATATAAAATTCCTTGACAAGTACATGTGTGATCAGATTGTTGGAAATGCACAGCTTTAATACATTGTATTTTTCAGACCAACTTCTCATACTTTTAGTTCATGTTGCGCAAGACCCATTAAGTAATACCATTCAATGAGCATTCATTTAATGAGATACAATTTCTTGTAGATACGCTAATGAAATGCATAAAACACCTTGAATGTATAGGGGGGGAAGTATGCTTCGGGATTTAGAAGTAGAATTAATGTAGTGTGAATAGAAAATTGCATTTCGGTTAGAATGTCATATCGTTTATTCAAACTAAACATTCAAGAATCCCGCCTCGCGGGATTCGAACACAACCTATCGGTCTCACGCGCGAACGCTTAACCTCTACACCACTGAGTTGGTCGGCATCCAACTACTATGTTAATGTCTAACTTCAACTAATCCACAAAATTGAGCGACACATCCATCATTGTGTTCAGTGAGTTACTATCTCATAATAGACCCGATTGAACTCTACTAATCACTGTTTCTCACTAGAACTCCAGGACATACCTCTTGAAGCCAGTCACTAGTGTGCATATGTTGATTATAATCAGAGAGAGGTTTTTTGGAGATTATAGTAATATTAATAGTTGAGATCATGAGTCATGAATATATTTACGGATCAGTTCAATTCTTTTATGTAATATCATATAGACAAAAGTTTATTTTGTTAAGATTATTTAATTTTTATTCATATAGGAAACCTTATCTAATTTGTTGGCATGGTTACTTAATTTTATTTTGTTATATATGGTGACCGGTAATCAATTGTAAGTGATATTATAAATTTACTTCTATCATTTGTTTATTTAATATGAATATCTACATATAGACATAAATTTATGGGTGTTCAATTTTTAAAATTCTGTGCGGCACTTGTTAGTATTGATGATATTTGTCTGAGCTTCGACATGACTAAACTTGACTGACTACAGCTCCTCGCCAGAACCTAAGTTACTCCATAATGTAATACTATGAAACAAGTTATCCATTTATTTTAAATCATGATAATTTAATAGCAATAAAATCAGATGGTAATAAGACCGAATTTTGCATCACAAGGTAACAATATCTCAAAAATCAAGTAGTTCTAAAGATGTGTAGCTAGTGAATGTTAGGAGTGGTTGACCACGTAACATGGACAGATAGACATCCAGTTTCTGAATATTTAATGTGTAATTTCCTTATTTATTTGAACACATAAATATTGGTACAACGAGGCACCAAGTAGGTAAGCGCCACACAAGTCACTTGATTTGTGTGTGGGCTGTGATACTCCCCGGGTATCCAAACCATGGTTCATACGCTCCTGTTCCCTTAGTATCCTGGAGTCCATATAGACCATTTGTTTGGAATCGGGGTTTTCGAAATTCTCTGGGTGGATCATCCATACCCACTGTTATGACCTTGAATCGCTTTTACCCCGTGATACTTGTTATGACTTCACCGTGATCTGTCTAGTCTAAATTATGACCTTGACGCGTTAGGCTGAGTGGCTTAACCTTGAGTCTAATACGCGTGAGTTCGAGATGGGGTAGAGAGAACTATTCTAAATCCTGATTGGTTGGCAAGCATGCAAGTGAAAGAAGACAAGACAGTTGGAACACTGAACTCTGGATTCTCTGAATTCGGATTAGTACAAAAATGTACATGAATAAATAAGTGAATATCTTGACCACGACGTACGATAATTTGGAAAAATACAGTTATGCCCGAAACAGGGAATTAGGGTAGAAAATAAAGTGCAAAATATTATGCTTAAATTACAATATTTTCGGAACAAAAAAAGGTATGCTAGTGAATGATACATAGAACAAAAGCTCGTGTTATGTAGAATAAGATAGGGACAAAAATAAATATAAGTGTTTTACAGGGTTTGAATGAAATGCAATAACGTCCCAAGAAAATAGCTTTCATAATTGTCTGGGCTTCTTAATTCCCCGTTCATAACACCCACCAACCCAGTTAACGCGCCAGACATTCGCTTTTCGTTTTCTCAATTTTATAAACAACACCTTCGCTGTGAGAATGTAGTGATTGGGACTCCCTTGGCAGTGACTGTATACGCGTGGCCCTGTGAGAGCATTTGTAGAGGGAGGGTTGACTCTCCCCACCCTCAACCGTACCAGGGCATTTGGGGGTGTAACTGGGGTGTGTGTGTAATTTCCTTCCTATTATCGATTTCTGCTCTGGACTCACTAAGTGAAGACTGCTTGTTTCCTTATTTTTGTTCAAGAATCATGTATCTGTTGTATATTGTGATCCAAGTTTGTGTATAGCGTATTGATTGAATATCCAGCCAAATCTCAGTTACCTATCGTATAATAGTAGTATATCGTGTCAAACAGGAAATATTTTTATTCTGTCATTATATCAACTAAATAACTGCTACATTCTACTGTAAAACTTTAATAATTCATACATGTGACATACGTCAGACTAAAACAATTCAAGTTTTTTTTATCTAACGAGTAGGGTATCATATTGTGAAAATCCAACAGTTCATAATCTTCCATTTAAATGAACCAACAATACAATGCGATTTTTATTTAATCGTAAATGTATTCTGAAATTACATAATATAACGTAAAGCTATTTTCCTTACTTTTGATGGAGTTTTGTTCTCTGAACTGGATGATTTGGTCGTGGAACTTTCATCGTATTTTTTGAACGACATCATCATCAGCACAAACTTCAGATAGAAGTGAAGTGTTCAAATTTCTCCACATGTAGTTCACAGCTTGTTCTGTACACCTATCAACTATAAATCATCATTTCAATTTCTCACACTGATTTATAACCCTCATTTTGTCCTAATTATTAGGTGAACACACTAAAGATCACTTTAACGTCGCTCAAAGGTCGCCCAAAAATTCTAGGTCTTACTAATAATTCTACTCCTAGACAATTGTGGAATTCCAAATTTACATAAGTGCACTTGGTGTTGTTTTACTTGTATCTTCCCATTGTTATTTAAGACTGCAATTAATCAGTCTCATATTGGCATATGTGCGGATTCCCTCGATATAACCTTAAATTACAATGCCCCAAATGCCCTGGTATGGCCGAGAGCGGGGTGAGTCCGCTCTCCCTCTCGAAATACTCTCACACGGCCGCGCGTATACAGCCTCTGCCAGGGAAGTCCTACTCACTGCCTTCTCGTGGCGGGGATGTTGTTTACGAAAATGAGAGGACGAAAAGCGAATGTCCGGCGCTTCAACCGGATTCCAAATCAATGGTGCACATGGGCACCAGTATCGTGCGGGAACAAATGACGTATGAACCAATTTTCGGTCACCGGCTACCATGGGACTGCGTCTCCTTACGATGCTCCACTGCCTTGTGGGTTAGACCTTTAGGTCAAAGGCTCGGGGTGTGGCTTCCTAAGATAACCACCTGCTTCGGTCTGGGCACCCGGGCAGCATCGCAGCCCACACGCAATTAATGAACTGAAATTGTGTGGCGCATATATATTTGGCGCACTCCTGTACCAATATATATGTGTTCAAACAAATAAAATAAATAATAAATAAATTACAACCCAATATGATACTGATCCATTACAGTCTTAAATAACAATTGGAAGATACAAGTAAAACAACACCAATAGAATATGGTTTCACTCCATTGCACAAGCAGGTGGCTGTCAGGATTCACTAGCTAAGTGAATAACGCAATGGCATTTGAAGTGAACGGTACTGGGTTCGTATCCCAGAGTGAACATCAACTCTGAGATGCAAGTAAATCAAGCTGACGAGTCCCAAATAGGAAGAAACGCGCATCAAACTGGATTCCACTACTAGACATTATCCATCTTTGCTTAAAAAGTTACATACATGCTTAATGATTACATTTGCTCAATTGTAGGTTTTCTTAAACCTTCAAATCTTTTTCACTGATTTCTTAATTATTTTCTCTCCCTCTCTTTTATTTCAGCTGCATTTGGTTCTGTTTTATTTGTTGTACTATTGTACATTTATATTCCAATTATCGTGCTGTAAAATGTTTGAAATTACGAACATTCAATCGTACACGTTTTCATTTAGCTATACAACAATGGTTTGAACAACAATTTTGTCATGTTTTAATGTCAAATAATAACAGTAATAATGATATGAACAAAATACCTGAATATCTTCTAATGAATAAATCATTTCCACATGTTATATGGGTTAATGAATGTGAACCTATCTTATATAAAACTGATCAACCTACAATTATAATGGGTTGTTCATTGTATAAATTACCTATTGAAGGGTAAGTCTTTATTGTATATGATTATTTTTCTTTACTTTAAAGTTTTACTTGATGAAAAAGTAGTGAGTAGAACATCCTAGCTGAAAGTTTTGTATTATATCTTAACCTACTGTAAAATATTAGGAAATAGCGTTTACATAATCGAATTTCATCAGTGGAGTGCTCCATATTTAGCTCTCAAATGCCCTGTTACGACCGAGAGTGAGGAGAGTCAGCTCCCCCTCTCAAATGGCCACGTGCATAAAACCACTGATAGGGAAGTCCTACTCAATGCCTTCTCGCACCACAAGTGTTGTTTACAAAATTCAGAGGACAAAAATCGAATGTCCGGCGCTTTAACCAAATTCCTGGATATGCAGGATCCATCTAGGGAAGTTGGAAAACCCTGATTCTAAACCAATGGGGCACATAGGCCTCAGGATCCTGAAGGAACGAATGGCGTATGAACCTATTGTTGGTCACCGACCATCATGGGACGTTGCTGCCCTGCCATGTGGATCAGACCTTTGGGTCAAAGAATTCCGGTTGTGACCCTCCTAAAAAAACCACCTTCTTCGGGTTGGGCAGTCTGACAGTATCCCAGCCCCTCATACAAATCGAATGATTTATGTGGCGCATATCTATTTGGTGCCTTCTTGTACCAATGTTTATGCGTTTAAATAAATAAATAAGCGATGTTTTTTTGTGAAATTATTCGTCTACTAATAGTAGTATATAAATAAATTCACAATAAAAAATCATACCATTGCTATAATGTGTCAACAGTGTGTTTTCGATTTAAATCATCTATTTAGTACCTTTAATCATGTTTATGTCTGGCCCAAAATTTCTAAAGTGAATTGAATGTAATGTACTACTTATATGTTTATAAGTACTTTACGCTGAACTGTAGCAATTTTCATTTCTGCATAACTAGAAACAATTTTGTTTGTATCCATAATACATTTTAAATGTGATATACATATTTGTTGTTTGTTTGTTTTCTATTACTCTACATATATCTCTATAGACAGAAATTGTTACCCAATTTGATACGATTATGTGAGATAAACAATTACATTTTGTATTGTTCAAATTGGGAATGTATTCAACAAGGTTTGTACTTGTTTTTCTACTAATCAGCTCTCTTATAGTTTTAGAATATGAGATGAAATGTATCATTGATAAACTGTAATTTTAATTCGTTTATTGAAGTTATATTCTTTGAATTGGATAGTTGACTTATAAAGCTCTGATTTTTGTTTCTTCTAGATAACATCATATCAGCAATCTACATAATCGGTCAGTCAATTAGTCAGCTACAACGTAGGACTAGGCATATATATGCATTGATCCAAGTTGCCATACTTCATTAGCACAGCAAAATGAACACCGGATTCATAGGAGTAGTTAAGTCAATGATGGTAATATATAAAAGAAAGATTACATATAAGGATATAATACAGAAAGAAAGTCAGTCAGTCAGTAACAACGTAGAACTTCGTACGTACGTACATCAGTTCAAGTTACCATACCACATTAGCACAGAGATGCAGTTGTCCATTCAAATCCCCTAGTGGTAGAAGTAATAAAAGTATAATCAGTAATCGGAAACATTAGGGTTTGAAGATGTTATTCAAAGAGTATAATCCAGTGAAATAAATTTGGAAAGAGAAAAAAGAAAGGGACATGAAGAATCTGGAAGATTAGAATTTGGGAGAACACAAAGAGTGTATGCACCTGCGCCACTGCAAACGACTTTGAGCCATGTCATTCAAGGTCTCTAACCATCGGTTGCTATCATCTCGCGGTCCCCAACCAGGTAGTCTACACCTACTAACATGGATCAGTCCACTTGTCAGTGACTTCATGGATTTGTGCCATGTTTTGGTCTGGCTGCCCCTACCTTTCTTCCAACTTACTCCTATACCACTGAGCATCGCACGTCGAGGCAGTCGGTGGTTAGGCATACGTAACACGTGTCCCAGCCATCTCAACTGATGAAGTTTTACTACTTCATCAATTGATTTGTCATCCTTATCTAGTATCCGTTTCCTAACAACTGCATTACTTACTCGATGGTCCCATGATATACGAGCAATGTTTCGAAGACACCCATGATCAAATACTAGGTGGATATAGTACAGAAAGAAAGAATTAATTCATAGAAAGAAACATATGAAGCTATTTTAATCTCATAGTTTAAGGGAAGACAGACAGTATATACACCCACGCCATTGTGGTCGATTGTCACCCATGTCACCCACAGTCTCCAACAGTTGGTTATGATAGTCATGCGGATCCCAACCAAGTAGTCTGTATCTATCAACATGGCTCAGACTGGAATTTAGTGACTTCAAGGACTGATGCCACGTTTTGGTTTGGCCGCCCCTAACATTAATCTACACAATCGACTAATAACTTATTCTATTGTCCTGAAATTTGATAACTGGCAGTTGTCTGGTTATTTATTTCACTTGTCTTACCCTATGGCTTGACCTTTGACCTTGTTGTTTATCTTTTTTTCTCATTGGTTTATTGATTATTTCTATTCCGATATACACAACCAAGGTGCTCAATTTCCATTCTATGATAAACATAACAACTGCTTCATTCTCAGTATTTCTGAACTTCATCATTAGATGACTTTTTCTGATTGATCTAACATTGGAATCAATTAACTAGTTAGATTTTTTGTAGACTACATCTTTCATCTCATCGAGTAATGGTTTAAAATGTTTTCAAATTTAACCATTTGCTGTCAGAAATACTCCAAAAAACATATCGACTATTGTTTAACTTCCATTAAGTGGTTCAGTTACAAAGATATATGTATGATTTACTTATCATTATTCATAAAACCTGTTAAGTGTGTCTTATTAGTATTTGTGAAGATGATAACAATGGTAATAAGATATATGAATCATTTTCATATGTGTTTTGATTTTAGGCAGTAACTATATTATCAGAAGGGGTTTTGTGGAGATTTTAGTAATTTCAATAGTTGAAATCATTAGTCAATTGAAGCTAGACCAGTAGAACGAAACGGTCGTCCAATGCTTCCAGGTTTTCAATGGAGGTCTAGCTTCAATTTACACATGATCAACTTTTGAAATTAATAAAATCTCCATAAAAACCCTTTTGATAATAATCATCTACTCACTTGTGACTGACTTCAAGAGGCATTTCCTGGAGTTCTAGTGAGAAGCCATGATCAGTGAATTTCGACTGGGTCTGTTATGAGATATCAGCTCACTGAAGACAATGGTGTACGGTGGCGCAATTTCGTGGATTAGTTGAAGTTACATATTAACACAGTTGGATGCCGACCAGCTCAGTGGTCTAGAGGTTAAGCGTTCGCGCGTGGGAACGATAGGTTCTGTGTTCGAATCTCGTGAGGCAGGATCGTGGATAATCGCTGCTGAGGAGTCCCACAATACGATGAGACGGCCGTCCAGTGCTTACGGGTTTTCCATCATGGTCTAGTTTCAATCGACTCATGATTTCAACTAATGAAGTAACTATATTATCACTAGTTAATATAAAATGTATGGAATGTGACTATTAACGGGATTCAGAATGCGTGTATTGCCTTATTTGAGACTTGTCAGAAGGATACACTTGAATCTAATATCAACTGTGAGATCAAGACACATCCAGCTGACGAGTCGCAAATGATTATGGATATATCGAAGCAATCCACACAGCATGCTCATATGCCAAGAATGATAAAAATTTCATTAAATTATTTGTTGTTACTTGTAAGACTTAGTTTGTATTATTGCATATTCTTAATGCTCATCATTAGCTAGTAGACATAGTTCATTTATAAAAATACTTATGATATAATGACCTCTCAATACCGGGAAAAGTCTTCAACAGAGTATTGTTAAACAGGATGAAGGACTGCGTAGACGCCCAACTTCGTGACCAACAGGCAGGATTCCGTAAGGATAGATCGTGTACAGACCAAATCGCAACTCTACGGATCATTGTGGAACAATCAATTGAATGGAATTCATCACTCTACATCAACTTCATTGACTACGAAAAGGCATTTGATAGCGTGGACAGAACAACACTATGGAAACTTCTTCGACACTACGGCGTGCCTCAGAAGGTAGTCAATATCATACAGAACTCATATGATGGATTACACTGCAAAATCGTGCATGGAGGACAGTTGACAAAGTCGTTCGAAGTGAAGACCGGTGTTAGGCAAGGTTGCTTACTCTCACCCTTTCTCTTTCTCCTGGTGATCGACTGGATCATGAAGACGTCAACGTCTGAAGGGAAGCGCGGGATACAATGGACATCTAAAATGCAGTTGGATGATCTAGACTTCGCAGACGATCTGGCCCTTCTATCCCAAACGCAACAACAGATGCAGGAGAAGACAAACAGTGTGGCAGCAGCCTCAGCAGCAATAGGCCTCAATATACACAAAGGGAAAAGCAGGATTCTCCGATACAACACAGAATGCACCAATCCAATCACAATTGACGGAGAAGATTTGGAAGATGTAAAAACCTTTACGTATCTGGGCAGCATCATTGATGAACAGGGTGGATCTGATGCAGATGTGAAGGCGCGGATCGGCAAAGCAAGAGCAGCATATTTACAACTGAGGAACATCTGGAGCTCAAAACAACTGTCAACCAACACCAAGGTCAGGATTTTCAATACAAATGTCAAGACAGTTCTACTGTATGGGGCAGAAACCTGGAGAACTACAAAAGCCATCATCCAGAAAATACAGGTGTTTATCAACAATTGTCTACGCAAAATACTTCAGATCCATTGGCCGGACACTATTAGCAACAACGTACTGTGGGAGAAAACAAACCAGATCCCAGTGGAGGAAGAAATCAGGAAGAAGCGCTGGAAGTGGATAGGACACACATTGAGGAAAGCACCCAACTGCGTCACAAGACAAGCCCTCACATGGAATCCTCAAGGTCAAAGGAAAAGAGGAAGGCCAAAGAACACATTACGCCGAGAAATGGAGATAGACATGAGAAAAATGAACAAGAACTGGAAGGAACTAGAAAAGAAGGCCCAGGACAGAGTGGGTTGGAGAATGCTGGTCAGCGGCCTATGCTCCATTGGGAGTAACAGGCGTAAGTAAAGTAAATAATGATATAATGACTGGTTGGTTGATTTGAGTTCGAATCTTTTAAGTATATCTACCATCTGTTTATATTCATATTTTCCTAGTAAATTTCTGTCTATAACTTTCTGCATAGGTTGAAATCAAGGAAAGTATATAGTGACAATTTAATCGCAAATATGGATATTAAACTTTCGAAAGATTTGATTTATTGATGAAAAGACGAAATATTACTTAGTAAATTATACTATATACTAGATCACTTTATTTTATTATTTATTTTAACACATAAATATTGGTTCAATTAGGCACCAAATAGGTATGCGCCACACAAGTCACTTGACCTGTGTGTGGGCTGTGACACTGCCCGGGTGCCCAAACCGAAGTAGATGGTTTTCTTAGGGGGCCACAACCGGAGCCTTCGACCTGAAGGTCTGATCCACAAGGCAGTGGAGCAACGTAAGGACATGCAGTCTCATGGTAGCTGGTGACCAACGATTGGTTCATACGCCATTTGTTCCCTTAAGGTAGTGGAGCCCATGTGCACCATTGGTTTTGGAATCAGAGTTTTCCAACTCCCCTATGTGGACTCTCCATGTCCACCAACCTGATTAAAGCACCGGACATTGGGTTTTCGTCCTCTCAATGTCGTAAACAACGCCCCCGCCACGAGAAGGCAGTGAGTAGGACTTCCCTGGCAGAGGCTACATACGCGTAGCCCTGTAAGAGCATTTGGATTGGGAGAGGTGACTCTCCCCACTCTCGGCCGTACCAGGGCATTTAGGGCTCATTAACCTGATATTACTATCTATTCAACGCTGTAATTTTGAAAGTAAATCCATCTGTAGAGTTAGAAATACGATGAAGTATACACATCCTGTACTCTACTACTAGGTACAATTCAAGTCAATTAGTTTCTCTAAAAATACTAAGATCAAATCTAATTATTATAATTTGTTTAAAAAGAAAATCTAATTAATAATCAATCACATCTTGTCTTCATCTCTCTCTGTAGTGCTTCTGACTTGATTTTATTGATCAAGTTTCAGTATTGTAATAATTAGTCTAAATAATTCGACATGATCCCATGTACTTTGACATATTTTAAATGGTTAGAGATAATGTATAAGAAAACTTCCAAATGTAGGTTCTTCATCTTAGTTGATATTTGTTAGCAAGAGAGGGAGTATTAGGAGGTGTAGGAAGGATTTGAATGTGATCAACTTGGTCTCGTGTGTTGTTACGGGTATGAGGGCTGATGTCACTTCCCTGCTGCCCACACCGTGGAAGGGTATTTGTTGAGGAACCTGAAAAGGAAGTTGGATTAGTGTTGGTCTTAACGACCTGGGTGAGTGGCCGCAGAGCCCAAGGGACAACTGCTCGAGGCCGGTCGCGCACGGCCTTTTCGTGGGAGGTTTTTAATGTGTTAGCTTCGTTCTTCAAAGGGCCTTACCGCCGGAGACGGAAATCCGTGAGGTAAGGTGAGGTGTGACATTCTTAGGGTCGACCTTTTCTAACCCCTTCCTTCCTTGTGAGAAGGCAGCATCGCTGCAGACGCTGGTTGTCTGAGGGAAACACCTTAGTGCTGTCACACCCCTCTACAGTCAGCAATACGACTTCGCCCTCAGACCTTGATTTGATGCTTTTAGTCTTATCGTGGCATAGTAGAACCTACAGGAACATATGTTCCAGCCAATATAGCTCCGTTGGGTCATCACGATAGGCAAGCCCGACCACCGCGTCAAGGTAGCAGCTACGGTCGGGATCACATTGTCAAAGTATATTTGTTTAATACAATTATTCTATTCAGTGAGAATATTTCCAATCAACTATTTTAATAGTTGAGATCATGAGTCAATTGAAGTTAGACCATCATGGAAAACCTGAAAGAAACCGATGGCTGTTTCGTCCTATTGTGAGGCTTTTCAGCAGTGCGAATCCACGATCCCGCCTCACGAGATTCGAACACAGAACCTATCGGTTTCACGCGCAAACGCTTAACCTCTAGACCACTGAGCTAGTCGGCACCCAACTGTGTTAATGTCTAACTTCAACTAATCCACGAAATTGAGCGACACTTCAACCATTGTCTTCAATGAGTTACTATCTCACAATAGACCCGGTTGAACTCTACTGATCACTGCTTCTTACTAGAACTCTAGGGCAATATCTCTTGATATTTCAATAACGTAAATTTAAGTTATGTAAAATATAAGGAAAGGTTATAGATGGGTTTGTAGTTGACCAGGGTAAGAGAAGAAGTTTTGTTAGAAAATTACTAACTTGATAAGCTATTGAAAATCGATTATTTACTCTTGGACTATGATTAGTTTAAATGAGTGAAACTTGTGCGACTCACTGTCTTAACCATATCTTTGTTAAACCAGGCTGGAGAGTGTTGACGAACAGAAAAACGTGAATCTCTAAGACGTCCGCAGTATGAGTTGCTTCGCAGTAGTTGAATTAATAAATACAAAATAACGTGGAGATTCTAGGTAGTTCATTTTTTAACCTCGATATCATCATTGGTGGCGTGAAAAATACTAGTCATTGTTTTCTGGGATTGAATATTCTCTAGATTGTTCTACGTACACTCTAGATCAGTAGTTTATTGTCTGTATTGCCTCTAAATTGTTGGCTCATGAACAAGGATTTCTTATTCATTGTTTGTACTTCTCTCATTCTAACTATTGTGGCCATAAATTTGCTTATAAACTTTCTGTTATATCTATTTTCTAAAAGTGTGTCACTCAAGCCCTGTAGCTTCTCTTCGATTGTTTCAGTAGAGCAAACAGGTGTTTTTTTCGCATATCAGAGGTACAAAGTAAAGGAGATGTATCTGCTTCCCTATCTAATTAATCAATCCATTCCCATCGTTAGTAAAACATATAAAAGGGCTGTTCTAACTTTACATTCCTGTTCACTTGTGAACATACAAACAATCCATAATTCGTATGCTCTAATTTAAACTTGACTATATTTTCGATTCATAATTAGTTAAGACATCCAACTTTTAGCTATTAGGTCATAGGTATGCACATTTCTCCATCCACTTCAATTTAGATAATCAAGTAGGTATTATTAGCTCTTTAAATAAAACAACAGTAAGCAAAGATGGATAGTGGCTAGCAGTGGAATGCTGGATGCACGTTTCGTCCCATTTTGGAATTCGTTAGTTGGGTTCCAGTCCTAGAGTGAATATCAACTCTAAGATACAAGTATATCCAGCTGACGAGTCCCAAATAGGAAGAAACGCGCATCAAACGGGATTCCACTGCTAGCCACTATCCATCTTTGCTTATAAAGCTTGTGAAGTAAGACAATATTGAGGCAATCCGCACAGGATGCACATATGTCAACAAGAGATGGATCAATTGCAGTTCTAAATGACAATGGGAAGATAAAAGTAAAAGAGCACCAAGCGAATAAAACAACAGTAAAGTCGGGTATTTAAATCTGTAATTGTACATTGAAAATGTATAAATTTACTTTATTTTTTTAGGCAACTCAATTAATCCTTTGACAATGTATATTGTTCTATTTTCGGAATCGAAACCTTTGGATCAACTCAAAGCTATGCTGCATGTAGAATTGATAACATTCATAGTAAAGGTTAGTGTTAGTCAATTATTTGTGATTATGTAGTTTATACTAGGGGTTTAACTTAATTAGACAATCAACGAAAATCAGTAATCACTGGATAGATGTTTTGTTGTAATATAAGATTCCTTACTAATGAGTATCCATGGTCTTACCAGTGATTTCACCTTACCATTCTAGGAAATAGCTCCATATTCTTGAATTGAATACTGGTGTTCGCGGCCTATGCTCCTCCACGAGAGGTAACAGGCGTAAGTAAGTAGGCAAGTAAAGTCTTGAATCTAAGTGAAGGATTTAGAATAAGCGAATATCATAAATGAATTGCAAATCTATAACAAAAGTTGATTATTTAGCCTCAAATTTATTTTTGTAACCACTTAACTTTGAAGGAACAATACTTTTTCAATACCGTAAAATTAATCTTGTTAAATGTTCACTAATATGACTTTAATATATTGCAGCCCCCAAATGCCTTGGTACGGCCGAGAGTGGGGAGAGTCACCTTTCCCAATCCAAATGCTCTCACATGGCCACGCGTATATAGCCTCTGCCACGGAAGTCCTACTCACTGCCTTCTTGTGGCAGGGGTGTTGTTTACGACATTGAGAAGACGAAAACCCAATGTCCGGTGCTTTAACCAGGTTGGTGGACATGGAGAGTCCACATAGGGGAGTTGGAAAACTCTGATTCCGAAACCAATGGTGCACATGGGCTCCACTACCTTAAGGGAACAAATGGCGTATGAACCAATCGTTGGTCACCAGCTACCATGAGACTGCATCTCATTACGCTGCTCCACTGCCTTATGGATCAGACCTTCAGGTCGAAGGCTCCGGTTGTGCTTTCCTAAGAAAATCATCTACTTCGGTTTGGGCACCCGGGCAGTGTCACAGCCCACACGCAGGTCAAGTGACTTGTGTGGCGCATACCTATTTGGTGCCTCCTTGTAACAATATCTATGTGTTAAAATAAATAAATAATATATTGAAACCTCACTTACACCTAATAAGCTCAACTCAGGCTGAACAAAAAGTACAGTAAGCATGATCAATAACAAAAATATGTATATGGTAACTATCTTATAGTTTTGTTTGTTCTAAATGAGATGGTTATTTTCTTGTATGTAATATGCTTAATTGAATATGATTTTTGTCTACATTTCTATCAAGTTCAAACATGTTTTGAATGTTTACATATGGATTGGTTATCCTATTGTTCCTATTGGGAACTGTTTTATATTATATTATGTCTTGGCTTATAACTTTTAGAATAAACTGAAGATATATGTTTTTATAGATGAAACACCTTGCGATTTTGATTTTACATTTATTTATTTAAATACTTAAACATTGGTACAAGAAGGTACCAAATAGACATGAGTCACACAAATTATTCGACCTATATGAAGGCTAGGATACTGCCCGGGTAGCCAAACTGAAACAGGTAGTTTTTTGTGGGGGGGAGGGTACACTCCGAGCCTTTGACCTACAGGTCTAATCCACAACGTAGTGGAGGAACTTTAGAAGATGCAGTTCCGTGGTAGTCAGTGACCAACGATGGGTTCATATGACATTTGTTCTCTCAGGATCCTGGAGCTTATGTCCACTATTGGCTTGGAATCAGAGTTTTCTAACTCCCCTAGGTGGATTATTCGTACCAACTATGGTGCGTGCTACTTATATTGATATACGTAGTATATGACGCGAGATAGGAACGTAATGTCTGGCAGCAGAAGATGGGGCCAGATCAAGAAAGGAAGAGCGGAAACACAATGCAATTTGTATGAAAACGCATGAACAATGAAATGTGAGACAACGGATTGATGTTTGCAACAGGAACAGTCCAGTTCGAAATGACGGATTGATATTTTGCAAATTAACGATTTTCTATATGGTTCTCAGATTTAATTGAGATGCTCTGTAATTATGTGGTCAAATACATTCGATTGTCCCCACTGGTGTTCTTGTTCACTACACCCACCAACCTATGTTTATCTCCGGATGTTCGTTTTTCGTCCTCTTAATTTCGTAAACAACACTGCGACCAAGAGAAGGTAGTGAGTAGGACCTCCCTAGTAATGGATATATACACGTGGCCATATGAGAGCATTTCGAAAAGGTGAGATGACTCTTGGTCATACAAAGGCATTTGATTTTACAAATCAAGTTTTTACTATAAAGTAATTCAAACCAATAGACTTCTATGGGACTTGTTGTGTATTGAGTCTCGGACTGGGACATAACAGATTAATCAAACTTTTTGATTGTGATCATGAACCGATTGATGTTAGACCAGCATTGAAAACCAGGAAGCACTAGACGGTCATTTCATCCTATTGTGGGACTCCTCAGCAGTGCGCATCCACGATCCCGCTCGCGGGATTGGAACCCAGGGCCTTCAGTCTCGCGCGCCAACGCTTAACCTCCTGATGATCTAACATCAATCGGTTCATGATCTCAATCAAAAACTTAATAATCTCCACAACCCCTATACTGATAATTATCATGTGCTCAATAGTGACTAGCTTCGTGAGGGAATCCTCGGAGTTCTAATGAGAAGTCGTGACCAGTAGAGCTAATCCGTGTCTGGTAGAGACAGTTATCTACCTCAGTACAATGAAAGATGGTCGCGCAATTTCGTGGATTGGTTGAAGTGAGACATTAACATCATTGGATGCCGGCTCAATGACCCAGTAGATTAAGCGCTCGCGCACAAGACTGAAGGCCCTGGGGGTTAGAATCCTGCGGGCACGATCGTGGATGCGCGCTGCCACTGAGGAGTCCCACAACAGGACGAAACAGCCGTCCATTGCTTCCAGGTTTCCAACGGTGGTTTAACACCAGTCGGTTCAGGATCTCAATAAAAAAACTCAATAATTTCCACAACCTCGACATCTGAGGAAAAACACGGCATACAATGGATAGTTCAGAACCAATTAGGCGATTTGCACCTCGCAGATGACCTAGTCCTCCTATCGCATACACGCGAACAAATGCAGATAAAGACAGCCAGTGTAGCAGCAGTCTCGGCATCAGTTGGCCTCAACATACACAAGCGGAAAACCAAGGTCCTCAAATTCAAAACAGAGAACAGTAATCCAATCACTCTTGATGGCGAAACTCTGGAAGATGTCGAGTCCTTCACATACCTAGGAAGCATCATCGATGAACAAAGAGGTTCAGATGCAGACGTAAAGGCGAGGATCGGCAAAGCAAGGGTCGCATTCCTACAATTGAAGAACATATGGAACTCAAAACAACTTTCAACCAATATCAAAGTGAGAATCTTCAATACGAACGTCAAGGCAGTTCTACTGTATGGAGTTGAAACTTGGAGAACTACAACAACCACAATCAAGAAAGTACAAGTATTTATAAATAGCTGTCTACGCAAGATACTCAACATCCATTGACCGGATACCATCAGCAACAGCCTTTTGTGGGAGAGAACAAACCAACTTCCAGCTGAAGAAAAATTAGGAAAAGACGATGGAAGTGGATAGGACATACATTACGTAAATCATCAAACCGCATCACGAAACAAGCGCTAACTTGGAATCCTGAAGGGAAGCGGAAAAGAGGAAGTCCAAAGAACACATTACGCCGAAAAATAGAAGCAGATATGAAAAGGATGAATAACAACTGGAAGGAGCTAGAAAGGATTGTCCAGGACAGGATTGGATGGAGAATGCTATTGAGCGGCCTATACTCTTTCATGAGGATTAACAAGCGTAAGTAAGTAAGTTAGTATACTGATAAAGATTAATTAAAGGTAATTCGTGTCTATGATCATCATCTATATGCTAGATGTGTTTTTGTTTTTGTTGTTGTTCTTGTTGCTATGTAGTATCCCTTGAAAACAATATTACCTCATAAAATATTGAAAGAAATATTAGAAGCAAAAAATTGTAAGTTATTTATGTATCTATAAGTATCAATATATATGTATACTATGCATTTTGTTTACCATTTGACTTAATTTAAAATAAGATATTTTAGATTAGATTTTGTATTGAATACAATGTTACCATAGCAACTAATATTTTGTTTAACCTTATGTTCACTTGAAAAAGATATAGAAATATCGTAGTTATAAAACATAAGCATCATTATAATTGACACTTAATGATATTGTACTTACACTTTGTGATTAAAGATGTCACGTTTATTCAGAGTTTGATAACACTTTTTTTTTGTTATAACTTGTGGTCTTGTACCCTATTCATATATATATGACATAATGATACCGCCAATTAGAGAACAATAACTTATCGACCGGATCAATGATGTATAAATCCGTATGAGCAGTGTAGATTCCTTATCGATTCTTCTTCCAATCTAGCTCTGTCTGTCAAGTCCAGAACATCAATCTCAGCCTCTGTGATATCAATGATGTATTTCAAACATACTGGGTTTATATACAAAGCATATAGACGATATCGTACCGTAAAATAGAAGACAACATTTGTACAAGATTTAGCTAAATGTGGTTATGAATGTGGGAGGTAGTAATTAATAGACTGGATATAACTCAAGAACGGTAAATCGTATAATAATAGTCTATGAGTCAAAATAAAGCTTTTACGAAGAGGAACTTGACTATGCATAGTTTAGTTACTTAATAATTATGCAACACAAAATATATGTATCGTATTGGCCTAGAAATAGTTCTCAAAAGTTACCGTTGCTTATGCTTATCGGGATATAACACTTTTGTGCATAATACTATAATTGAAGGATGCCAAATCCAATCAAACCAAAAGTTAAGAGTGAAAGGATTTCAAGAAATATTTGGAAAGCATTCAGTATGTCGAGAAGTGTTGTAAGGAAATGCGTAGCATGGTGTACCCAGTGTTGATCTGATACGGATGCGCGACCGAGCGTCTTCAGCTGATGAGGTCACTATAAATGTCGAAGACTTACAGAATTATTTATTTACCGCTATATGACCACAAAGTTTTAAGTTTGGTCTTGTATGTTTATGTGTGTAGAGTCATAGATGGACTTTGACTTTTCATTGCTTATTCACCTGCTTTTAATTTGATGAACAAAAATTATATTTCACAAATTGAAATCATGAGTCAATTGAAGCTAGACCAATATGGAAAACCTGGAGGCCGTTACCAGTAGAGTTCAACCAGGTCTGTTGTGAGAAGTCAATGGTGTACGGTGGCGCAAATTCGTGGATTAGTTGAAGTTAGACATTAACACCGTTGGATGCCGGCTCAGTGGTCTAGTTGGTTAAGCGCTTGGCGCGAGACTGATAGGTCCTGGGTGCGAGATCGCGGATGCGCACTGCTGAAGAGTCGCATACTAGGACGAGACGGGCGTCCAGTGCTTCCAGGTTTTCCATGGTGGTCTAGCTTCAATTGACACATGATTTCAATCGGTGAAATTTCTAAAAATCTCCACAAAACCCATTCTAAAAATTATATTAATTAGTCAGAAGTTCTTAATTCATTAGCTGACAGTGAGTAAAGCGAACTACCAAAATTTATATCCCTTAATCTCTTGTTTATATAAATGAAGTTTAATCATATTTGTGCTTATTATAAATAAGTAACTTGATCTATAGAGTTCGATCAATACTAAAAAGAACTTGACATGATATTGATTACCAATCAGTGATCAGTTCATTGTTTATTTATTTATTTGAACACATAGATATTGGTACAAGAAGGCACCAAATATGTATGCGTCACACAGATCTCATTTGATATGTGTGAGGGCTGTGATACTGCCCGGGTGCTCAAACCGAAATAGGTGATTTTCGTAGAGGGCCACACCCTGAGCCTTCGACCTAAAAGTCTAATTCACAAGGCAGTGGAGCAACGTAAGGAGATGCGATCCCATGATAGCCGGCGACCAACGATCGGTTCATACGCCATTTGTCCCTTCAGGATACTGGAGCCCATATCCACTAACCCGATTAAAGCGCCGGACATTCGCTTTTCATCCTCTCAATTTCGTAAACAACACCCCTGCCACGAGAAGGCAGTGAGTAGGACTTCCGTGGCAGAGGCTATATACGCGTGGCCCTTTGAGAGCATTTGGATTGGGAGAGGTGACTTTCCCCACTCTCGGCCATACCAGGGCATTTGGGGGCCAGTTCATTGTAAATAAGTATGTTAATTTACTAGAGAAGAAAAGCTTATTCTTAATGATTGATTGATCACTAGGTTGTAACCAATATCATGTATGTCAAGTGTTTTTTTAAAGTTGATCGAATTTTGTTGATCAATTTGCAATGTAGCCACTAAGCTTAGCGACTGGACATCGCCTGCACCAGATTGACATGTAAGTTGTTGATGAGAGATAGTTGACAGGATACTTTAGAGCTAGTGACACGGAATTGAATCATCTAGGGAGTATTGTCTATCCTAAGATTACAGTTACATCTCACTGACGAGTACCGAATAATACGAAGCCTATGTTTGAAGTTTCTTGTTGAATACCTCCAGCTATTACCTTAAAATTTAATCTTGTGACTAATTGTCTTATCCTTTGATGTGACGAAATGGCTCACGTTGTCAATTCAATCTTATCATCACCATCATCATTATTATGAACATTTTGGATTTCCAGTTGGTTAATAAGAGTGTAATGATAAACATTCTACATAATTTCATTATAAATTTTTGAAATAATGATGTGAACAATACAAAATCTAAGGAAAGAAATTCTATATTATGGTTAAGATTTATGTATATTTACATGCGAAAATGGGGTCATATATTTGTAAAAATGGGATTACGTACTTGGTTGTCACCTGTGCAAAAAGATAGAATTGAATCAACCAGAGATGTTAACACGGAACAGTTCAGCCGATGAATAATCTCCTTATTGAACTGAAACAACTATATTGACCGAACACCCGAACTAGTGATAGGGAGTGAAGTAGTTGAGTGTATCGACCGCTTCACTTATCTTGGAAGTCTCATCAACCCTTGTGGTTTAGTGTGTGACGAAATCTCAGCACGGATACAGAAGGCTCGACTAGCTTTTGCCAACTTGCGTCATTTATGGCGTAGGCGAGATATCCGTCTATCAACCAAAGGACGTGTTTACTGCGCAGCAGTTCGTTCCGTCCTACTTTATGGCAGTGAAACATGGCCGGTAAGAGTAGAGGATATCCGTAGGTTACTAGTATTTGATCATAGGTGTCTTCGAAACATTGCTCATATATCATGGGACCATCGAGTAAGTAACACAGTTGTTAGGAAACGGCTACTAGGTAAGGATGGCAAATCAATTGATGAAGTAGTGAAACTTCATCAGTTGAGATGGCTGGGACACGTGTTACGTATACCCAACGACCGACTGCCTCGACGTGCTATGTTCAGTGGTATAGGAGTAGGTTGGAAGAAAGCTAGGGGCGGCCAAACCAAAACATGGCACAAGTCCATGAAGTCACTGACAAGTGAACTGAGTCATGTTGGTAGGTGTAGACTACCTGGTTGGGGACCGCGAGATGATAGCAACCGATGGTTAGAGACCCTGAATGACATGGCTCAAAATCGTTTGCAATGGCGCAGGTGCATCCACTCTCTGTGTTCTCCCAAATTCTAATCTTCCGAATTCTTCATGTCCCTTTTTTCCTCTTTCCAAATTTCTTTCACTGGATTATACTCTTTGAATAACATCTCCAAACCCTAATCTTCCCGATTACTGCTTATACTCTTATTACCTCTACCACTACGGGATTTGAATCGACAAATGCATCTCTGTGCTAATGTGGTGTGGCAACTCGAACTGATGTACGTACGTACGAAGTTCTACGTTGTGACTGACTGACTGACTATCAGTTAAAACGTAGGACTAGGCAGTGGTCCAAATTTCCACACCTCATTAGAACAATAAAATGAACACCGAATATATAAAAGTAGTCACTTCAATGGTAATAACGTTTAAAGACAAGATAGTATATGATACATCTAGGAAGAATGAATTTGTACAAAGAAAGGTATAAAGTAGATTTCATCTCACAGTTTAAGGGAAAACGAAGAATATATACACCTACGTCATTGTGATTGATTCTGACCCATTTCACCAAAAGTCTCCAACCATTGGTTACGATAGTCACGCTTATGTCAATCAAGTAGTCTGTATCTACCAATATGGATCAGACCAGAAGTTAGTAAATTTAAAGACTGATGTCATGTTTTAGTTTGGCCTCTCCTAACTTTCTTTCAATCATCTCCAACACCAGTTAGCATTGCACGTCGTAGTAATCGGTGTTCAGTCATACGTAACACGTGACTCAACCATCTTAGTCGATAAAAATTCACAATCTCATCAACTGAATTTACCATCATTTCTTCTTAAATTGAGGCTTAATTTTTATCTTTCTCTATTATCTTTATATCTATATTGATAGATTATGAATTTTTACAATCTACTATAAATCTTGTCAATCAATTATGGAATTCATTCATGAATTCATTACAATCAAATCATGATTGGAATTTAGATTCATTTCAATTTGCATCAGATGTATGGAGATTAAAAACGAAATGAATAAAATATCACATATATCAAATTTGATGAATAGTTCAACTATTGTAATCTGTATATTTTCTAATTGATGGTTTTTTTTCATTTGTAATAAATGTTTTGATATGAATTTGAATTGTTTATAGAAATTAGGATGAACCAACTAATCAGGTAATAAAATAAGAGGTCTTGGATTTTGTTCACAAAATTCACTCACCCATTTGGCCAAAAAACTCCGTCTGTAGCTCTTCTAGAGTTACTGCCGGTTCCAAGCTCGGGTAAAGGAGGAGGATTGGGCATGGGTTTAACAACCCCCATCCCGTAGAAAACTAACTCACTAAAAGAAACTTAACCAGAATTTGGCTAAATAGCTTCTTGACATTATAGTTTATGTCAGTTCGTGATGAAAAACCTGAAATCTAATTCTTAATCATCAACTGTAAATGATAATTCGAATTCTTCAAACAGATTGATAACGCCCCTAAATTCCCTGGTACGGGTATGTTCTCACATGCCCACACGCATACAGCCTCTGCCAGGGAAGTCCTACTCACTGCTTTCTCGTGGCGGGGGGTGTTGTTTACGAAAATGAGAGGACGAAAAGAGAATGTCCGGCGCTTTAACCGGATCCAAAACCAATGGTGGACATTGGCTCCGGCATCCTGCGGGAACAAATGGCGTATGAACCAATCGTTGGTCACCGGCTACCATGGAACTACATTTCCTCATGATGCTTCACTGCCTTGTGGGTCGAACCTTTAGGTACAAGGCTCGGGGTATGGCCCCCTAAGTAAACCACCAGCTTCGGTCTAGGCACCCGGGCAGTATCACAGCCCACACACAAACAGAATGAAATGACGATACTTACGGGAAATACTATACTTGCTTCGATTAACGAGTGTGGCGCATATATATTTGGTGCTATCTTGTACCAATATTTATGTGTTCAAATAATAAAATAAAATATTTGATCCTAGTTATTAGGCGGACACTCAATGTTACCTTAACGTCAATCAAAGATCATCCATAAATTATAGTCTCATCTTTAAGATGAATTTATTATAAATGATCATGTAAAGTATCAAGCATTTCTAGGCATTTTTCTGCGTATTTAGCGGGTGAATGTTGCATATAAGCTTAATCTAAATTGAGTATTAGACATCTAATTCTAACTTTAAACTAAGATTTTCATCCAGCGAGTTAGGACACACTAGAAAAATATGTTTATTGAATATGCATGTAAAGAAATTTATATGGTTAACATGAAAACCATAGTAAAACTTATGTTTTTATCTATCGTACTCAATTATTGAACGGGAGGAAACGTCCTCAAAAATGCTAGATATTGTATTTTTATGAAACATTGAGAGAAGGATGTATAACTTCACATAGAACTATAATAAGTTAGATTGACATTTCATAATTGAGATTGAGTGATTAAACGTTGAATAACCAAGCAATTTTATTATTATTGTATACGTACAGTATGCTAAGTTATCTAGTTCTATTTAATGATGTTACGAGGCTTGACATATTCGGTGGCAAAGCTTGAATGTTAGTTCATATTCTTTGACACTTGTTGAATCCAGGGCTTCCTGTCATTTGCGTCTATCTTAAAGCAAATCGCTGTATACCTAGTCACTTAGAACGAAAATATCAATCACATAAGTGGGAGTTTTATGTATTTACATTGATATTTTAAGGACGATTCAAGGAATAATTGATTATGTAGACATATGGAAATATTTCAATTCATTTGTAGATCAGAATTGAACTGTCACAAAATAATTACTTCCCCGCCCCCAAACACCTTGGTACGGCAGAGAATGGGGAGAGTCACCTCTCCCAATCCAAATGCTCTCAAATGGCCACCCATATACAGCCACTGCCAGGGAAGTCCTACTCACTGCCTTTTCGCGGTATTACGGTTGTTCACGAAATTGAGAGGACGAAAAGCGAATGTCCGGCACTTTAACCGGGTTCGTGGATATGGAGGATCTACTTAGAAGAGTTGGAAAACCCTGATTCAAAAACAATGGTGCACATTGGCTCCAGGATCTTGAAGGAACAAATGGCATGTGAACCAATTATTGATCACCGACTACCATAGAACTGCATCTCCTTATGTTGCCCCATTGCCTTGTGGATTAGACCTTCAGGCCGAAGGCTCAGGGTATGGTCCTCTACGAAGATCACCTACTTCGATTTGGGCACCCGAACAGTATCACAGCCCTCACACCAATCGGGTAGTTCATGTGGCGTATATATATTTAGTGCTTCCTTGTTCCAATGTTCATGTGTTTAAATAAATTACTTCCCCATATCTGCATGGACTTAATTGATGATTGTACATATAATTTCCAGTTAATCGAAACAGTTGTTAGGTAAAGTTTCAAATGTAAGCAGTTATATTCCGACTTTCACTCACTAAGTCTCAGGTTCGAACCTTGCCATATCTATTTTGGTTTGCACAACTGGGCAACAGCATCTACCTTCACAGAGTATGGCCCATACCCAACTACCGGGTAAATGAGTTAACTCAATTAAAACTATATATTCCGACTAAATAGTTTAAAAGTATCACAAATATCACGAAAGTTGAGTTCAATTCTGTGAAAGACCATGAGAATTAACTGTTAAGGGTAGCACACTATTCCATTTTCAGTGATGGCCGATGTACCACCCGATACAAATGTATGTCGACTCAAATTCTTATATAAAAAGGTTATGAAACTGATGAGATGAATAGAAAGATTCAAAGTGACAAATGTGATATCTATGACAGTACGAAAAACTAGACGTTAAAGATTATTTTTTTTTAGTATGTTGGATAGCTGTTAAATACAATACGTTCATTTCATCTTATTTGTGACTGATCAGATAGGTATCGATGCAATCCGTTCAGGACGAATATATGTCAAGAGATAGTGGCCGGATACATATCTCAGATTCTACATAACTTTTGACAGATTAAATTATTACGGTATTAGTTCGTTATGAAGATTATCTATCAAGTATTGGCTATACTTTATGTTGTCGGTTTCATCTGATCATATGATAGACTAACTTTCCAATTGTTGATACTAAGCATGAACCCTTACCTATAAAAACGCAGATAACTAAATAAAATTGGCTGGACAAGCATTAATTACATGAATCGATGAAAAGGAAATATATGATTATTCAATATGACGTAAAGAATTATATATGTAATAAAAGACTAGTTACTCATAAGTAATACAGATTTCAGAAATATCACGTTAAGCAAAGGTGGATAGTGTTTAGCAGTGGAGTCTGGGACGTGCGTTTTGTCCTCTTTGGGACTCGTCAACTGGATGTACCTGCATCTCAGAGTTGATGTTCACTCTGATATTCGAACCCAGTACCATTCACTTCAAACCCTAACGCGTTATCTACTCAGCTACTGAGTCCTGATAGCCACTTGCATTGTGCAATGGGGTGAATTTAAACAAACTTGGTATCGTTCTGCTTGTGTCTTCCCATTGAGGTTTAAGACTGCAATATCACGTTAAGTATATGAATATTTATCTGCTTTACTAATAGATCTGATATTTCTAGATGGTTAATTATACAACACCATTTATGGATACGTAAACAATGAATGAGTGTTTTTATTCTATATAAAGCTGTAAACTGATTATCAAACACAAAATCTTTATATTATTCAGTATTTCAATCAATATGAACCCTACTTTAATCAGTTTTATTACCAGGGTAATTAGTATAAAAGGCAACAACAAATGCAGGAGAAGATGACCACTGTAGCAGAAGCCTCAGCATACACTAACGGAAAAGCAAGGTTCTCCAACACAACACAGCATGCAACAATCGAATCACAATTGATGGAGAAGATTTGGAAAATGTAAAAACCTTTACATATCTGGATAGCATCATGGATGAACACGGTGGATCCGATGTAGGTGTGAATCGCCAAAACAAGACTAGCATATCTACAACTGAACAATATTTGGAACTCAAAACTATCTGCCAACCAACAACAAGGTCAGAATTTCCGATCCAAATATCAAAACAATTCCACTGTATGGGGTGCAAACTCGGAGAACTACGAAAGCCATCATCAAGAAGATACAAGTGTTTATTAACAGTGGTCTACGCAAAATACTTCGGATCCGTTAGCCAGACACTATCAGCAACAACCTACTATGGAAGAGAAGATACCAGATTCCAGCGGAGAAAGAAATCAGGAAGAAGTGCTGGATTTGGTCAGGAAGCACATTGAGGAAAGCACCCGACTGCGTCACAAGACAAGCCCTCACATGGAGTTTTCAAGGTCAAAGCAAAAGAGGAAGACCGAAGAACACATTACGTTGAGAAATGGAGATAGACATGAGAAGAATGAACAATTGGTTAGAACTGGAAAGGATGGCCCATGACAGAGTGGGTTGGAGAATGCTAGTCGACGGCCTATGCTCTATTGAAACAGGCGTAAGTAAGTAAGTAAGTAAAAAAGGCCTCAAAAACTGAGCCTTATAGTAATGATCATGGAAATTCCTTAAATCCATTAGTGTAATCTTCAGAACAGTGTAGGATGTAATTAAAAGTTCTTAGACAAATTGGTGGCGACTTTACAAGTTCTATCAATCGGTCAACGACATTTAATTTAATTTGAGTAATCAAAGATTAATTACACTAGCCGTGATAAGTGTGACTCCGAACCGAGTACTTAGTGAATGAGTTATTTCAAATAGTGTATAATAAATTTCACCAAAAACGATTCAAACAACTTATGTAGCTAAGTGGATAACGCGATTGATTTTAAAGTGAATGGTACTGGATTTGAGTCCCAGAATGAGCATCAACTCTGAGATGCAGGTAGATCCAGCTGACAAGTCCTAAATAGAAAGAAACGCGCGTCAAACTGGATTCAACTGCTAGCCACTATCCATCATTGTTTACAAAAAGCTTGTGAATTAAGGCAATATCAAGGCGATACGCACTCTCTACAACACACACTTATTATACTGTGGTATTTCTACGAATGA